ATCTGTCTCTAAATCTTCAGAGGAATGATAATAATTATCTTTTAAGATTGATAATAATAGTTTCTTATTATTTTTCAAAACCTGCTTATTACTCAAATTGAAAAGCGTATTAGCATCTATGATCCTTTAAGCCTTTTTCTAAAAATATCAAATGTTAATTGAAGTTTCTTTTTTATAAAAAAATCAATTTTGATTATATTTATCTCATTGATATGACTGTATTTATATAAATGCCAATTATTACCATCTAAACTACTACATTGTTTATATAATAAATGAACTCATCAATACTTATAGAGGATGCTAAGCTATTCCTTAACTTGTTTAAATGTTATTTTGAATCTTTTAATACATTAACAAGATGCGATATTATTTTTCATAATATTTTAGTATTTTCTTTACCGCTAAACTTAAGATCATATCTTATTTTGAGATTAGTCAGTATATTTTTAAAATCATTCTCATTTCAATCTAAATTATAAAAAATAAAAGTTGAATTAAGTTAAGTTAATAGATGTTGGTTATATTAGATTAAAAATTAGTTAAATAAAAAATTTAATTGAATTTAAATTACAGTAAAAAATATAATTAAATACTGATAATCAATAAAAATAACTTATCATTCAAAATTTTAAATTATTTTTTTAAATAAAAAATTTAATTGAGTTTAAATAACAGTAAAAAGTATAATTAAATACTGATAATTAATAAAAATAACTTATTTCCTTTAGTAGTTTTTTTTTGATTTTAAATAAATAATTTAATTGAGTTAAAATTACAATAAAAAATATAATTAAATACTGATAATCAATTAAAATAACTTACAATCTATTATATTATTAATTATTAATTATTTTTTTAAATAAAAATTTAGTTGAATTTAAATTATAGTAAAATATATAATTAAATACTAATAATTAATAAAAATAACTTATCCATTTTAAAAATTTAGTTAAGTTTAAATTATAGTAAAAAGTATAATTAAATACTAATAATCAATAAAAATAACTTTCTATCTAAAATTTTAAATTATTTTTTAAATAAAAAATTGGTTGAGTTTAATTTCATTATAATAATAAATATTATTAATATATATTAAATAAAAACAATTAACTTTTTGTAAAATTAATAATATTTTGATATTTATATCAAAATTATAGTAAATATTATCATTATAGATAATTTAATTAATAAATATAACTTACTTGCTATAATATAAATAAAATGTAATTAGATTTAAATTATTATAAAATATATAAATTAATCTCCTATCACATTAAGTGTCTCTCATGATTATTTTTATATTAATTTTTCATATGTAATCACTTATTTTCCAGTCTCATATAGAAAGCTGAAAAATCACTAATTTTATAAGAATCATTTAAAATATAATAACCACTTAATAATTTGTATTAAAATTAAATGATATGCTTTATTTGAAATTTCATTTGTTTAATATTTGGCTAATATTTTCAATATTTTCATTATATTTATAAAAATATAATTTCTAATAAAAAACATTAATCATATTTAAAAATAATATTAATATTAATATTACTACAATTTTCTATAGAATTTTTGATTTTTGACACATTAAATCATCATCTGACTCATTTTTTTAATAAAGTTAATATTATTATATCATCTAATTAAATCAGATACCTTAGAAAATCCTGAAAAATAAATATAGTGAATTCTAAATAACAAAATTAAAACATTTTTATAAATGTTTGTTTACATACCTAATTGGTTTATATAATTAGTTGAATCCTTTAATGTCATATCTTTAGTAAAAATTAAAAGAGAAGCATTATCTTATTTACACTTGATAGATTGATGCTGATAACAAATATACCTGCAATTGTTTTATATTATGAAAAAATATCTGTTCATCAAGTATGATACCAGATTCAATAAGATTGTAAATATTATTGATCTCATTGAATTATTAGTAATGTTACGATCTTTAAAACTTAAACCATAATTAGAATATATATTATGTATTATCATATTATGTGATTTTTTTTAGCTTTGTTTCTAAATATCAATTACCATTATATATATTTTTGGGTGTATTGATTGATACAAAGAAATAATTATCCTCAACATTATTAGGATGTTTATTTAAGTATTTTTGAATATCTGCAACAGAAGTATAAATGTTTTCTGAAATATTAGATGAATAAAAACTAGTACCAAATACTACATATAGATCTTTAATTTTTCCTACATAATTCTTTTTCTTAAGTAGTTCAAGCTTTATTCATCATTATCTATTTCAATAATCCAAAAAGCTTTCAATCATTTGGAATTATCACCTTTTAAATAGCATAATCAGATTCAAACCCTTCATAAAAGGCCTTTAAAAGTATCTGTATTGGTAACAGGTGAGTTAAGTATAAATTTGATTTTATCAATTTCTAGTGAATTTGATTGTTTCGATTATATTGTCCTTAATTAGCAATTGATTTCATATAATCATCCAAAGTTCTATGTAAACTTTTAAATTAAGAAAGATCAAATAAATTCATAACTCTAATTTTCTCAAATATTTCAGTAATTACTCTTGCCAAAGTACAAATTCAATATATGAAGGCAGTCAGTAAAAAAGGAGGAAATCCAAATTTTGGTCAAAATTTATATTATTGGACCACTTGGCTGATCTTGGTCATGTGCATAAAATTAGCTTAATAATTAAAATTAACAAAAATTTTAGATTTCCACCTTTTCTACTGATCACCTCCTATATAGTGATGATACTTTATATTTTTAACTATTAGATTTTCTACTTTTACTAATAATTGTTCCAACTGATTGGATAATATTTTATTATCTAATTCAACAATTTCATTAAATAATCACAGACTTTATGAAACTTAATAAATAAACCTATTCACATATTGTTAAATTTGTCTGTATTTACATTTCTTGATGCTTTCTGAAAATTTAAAATTATTTCTTTAGTTGATAAAACAAATCATGTTATCATTATTATTTAAAAAGAAGGATTTGAATAATGTGAAATAGAAAGAAAATGTTTAAGAAAGAAAAAAGAAGTGTGAGAAAAAATAATGCAAAAAAAAATTTAATCGCTAATCATGTATAATCACATATTATGTTTAATGAGTGACATGCTCCTGAGAATTACACATTTATTTTATGGAAGTTAGAAATAATATGGTTTTTTCCCTTTGAGAAAAAACCATGGTATTTCCTTTTCATGAAATAAATGTTATATGTATGCTTAATAAGAATAATTTACTAACTAAAATACAATTAATTATTTTTAAATAAATTAGTTGTATTTAAATTACAATATATATAAAATCAAAATTACTTACTCCCTATAGTATTATTGATAATTAAATATTGTTTAATCAAAATGGGTTGTTTAAATTTTAATTGTAATAGCTTATATAAAGTTAAATAACTTATAGTCTAAGTAATAATAACAATTATTTTTTTTTTAAAAAAAGAAAAATAAAGATTAAAATATTATTGTTTGATTAACAAATAGATAAATATTTTTTACTATATAATTCTCTATATGTAGAAGCATCAGGAGTAAAGATAGTTCCTATAATTATTTTTAAAATTTTTAACTAGTTGTAACTTAAGTTGCAATACTTTGAGTTGCAACTATTTATGAATTTTTATATTAAAATAAATTTACAAGGAGTTGCAATATACTGAGTTGCAACTTCTTAATTATGATGCTTATCTTTAATCAGGAACATCTGAAACTGGCTCTAATATAATAATTTTGAGAAAATTTTAAAATTAATTACTAAGGTTATATTATAATTAGTATTTGAATAGTTTATAAATGATACTTTGTCATCTAGTTCTTCTATTATTTCAAAATATAATTGAGTATAATTAATAGATAATTATATTTGTAATTGTATTTACCTTTATCTTTCAAAACTAATTCTGTATTTTAAATTTTTAAATTTTTTAATAAATAAAAATATAATTAATGAATTACAGTTATTATATTTAATTTCACATTACAAATTTTCAAGGTTTTATTAATGATTATATATTTATCTTTATCATTTGAATCTGATTCTATTTTAAATATAAAATTTAATTTTTAGTGAATAAATATATCAATTATCATAATATTTAAATAAGGGTAGGGTAATAAATAATATATAAAATTACCTTCTATTTCTTCTAATAAGAATGTTTCCTTAAAATACGAAACTGACTCTAATGTAAATGGGAATATATAAAAAAATTTGTTTTAGAAAATTATCTAACTGTTAATTAAACTCATTTGAAGCATGCTGAGCTTCATAAACTTTATTTCTTTTTTTGTTTGTGAAAATATTTTTAAGTTTTTTTATTATACTTTTACTTTTATTATTATGATCAGACATTATAAATAATTTTTTTTTAAAAAAATAAATGTTCAATCCAAATTTTCTGATAATGGTGATACATATTGTCAGATCTTATTGTAATATGTGAGGTATAACGCTAGAAATTACAATCAGATTCTGCAGTAAATAACTAATATTTTTCATAATTACTAACATTTATGATAAATGATTATATAATAATTGGATCATGTGTTATAAATTAACAATTAACTAAACTATTCTTTAACAATTATTTTTTAAAAAATATTTTTTCTTCCTCACAAAAATTAAAAATGAAAAGAATAATAACACATAATTTAATACTACCCATGAACTTTAAATAATCCAAAAATATCTAAAAATAGTAAAATTGAAAAAGCAATTTCATTTTATCAAAAAAAATCACATGTTCAAAATACAGAGAAAGCAACAAAAATTGGTTAGCACATTTTGAAAAATTTTGAAAAGATATGGTTGATTCTTCTTCATAAGAAGAGTAATAAAATACAATTGCATCTTATTTCGGACATGTCTATACTAGAAAATCAAGTAGCAGGTTACATTCCTACTATAAAAAAAGGATGGAACTGAATATAAATAAGACAAGCTGTTGATAGAATTAATCAATATTTAATGGAATTTTCAATGATTTATGGAATAAATTTATGGAATTGTCATCAAATTCCTGTTTTAGCAAGAGTTTTTGATGGTAAAATGAAAATACTTCAAGATAATGAGCTTGGTAAAATAAAAGGATCTGCAGCTTTAACTCGACAAAATATTGCAGATATTTTATCAAATTCTGCAACTTCAATATCAACTCCAGATACTCTTATTAAAAGAGAAGAGTATTTTTTCATAATGCACTTTTATTAGCTTGTCAGGTGGTGAGCATTATCAATTAAAAATTATTCAATTTAATTTTCGCAAAAATGGTAGAATTGATTTTCAACAATCAACGAGGAATAATAGGTGGTGTAGCATAAAAGGTTCCTATTCCAGTTGATTTACCAAATACTAGAGAACCTTGCTATGATTATCGATTATATTTTTAAAAAAGGCTATTAGATGCGGAATCAGATTTTTATTTACAGACCAATCCAAAATGTAAGTTTATTTTATAAATTTATATTTATTTTTTAAGTGTTTACAAATTTTAATTTATAGGGAAGGAAACTGGAATCTGATATCGCAAACAACATATTGGTCGAAATAATTTATCTGGATTTATGATATTGAAGTTGATGATTTATTGACTAACCATTCTGGGCGAAAGACATTGCAAGATGTAAATGTGAAAGAACAAGTTATTATAAATATTACAAGTACGAAAATATAAAGTATCACATTTCTTGTTAAATTCTGTGATTCAAGATTTATAATTTGTGAAATTTGTAATGGTTGCATATTATAATCTTGAATTTGTCAGAATTATATACTTGTTATCAGATAAATATTATTTCACTATTGACAAATGTAATTATAAGGCACGTGATTTCACACATTCAAAATAACAACATTCATTCTCAATAAAAAAAGGAATGTTTTTTATCTATGATCATAACAATTGCTAATATCTTTAAAAGTTTAAGTACTGTGCATTGTACAAATTTGGCTAATTTTTACATGACAACAAATATCGCGCTTTTTGGGAGGGATAATCAGAAGTTATCAAAGGATTGGTTTTCCAATATAGAAAACGTCATACTGTATCATATATCAGTGAGCGAATGAATTAAATTTTTATTTTTCTTTTTTATTTTATTTAATTTTAATTTTTTTTTATATATAGAGGGGATTTGTTAATCTGATGAACAAGTTAATTAATAAATTGAATTGTGAAAGGGAATTGTACCTATTCCAACAAAAAGATCCTTTTGTATATGAACAATATACATGTACTGTATGTACATGTATAGATAAATATATACAGCATATTTATTTCTAATAAGAATTTATTAAGAATTATTACAAGGATTGATAATTGTATATTAATCGACATTATTAGAACGTGCAATCTATCGATATAGTTCAATAACTTACAATTAACGATTTGCTTCTTTCGCTACATAATTGGAGCATCGGCAAAATACCTTGCCGATTAATTTAATAATCTATCCGAATTTTCTTCCTTTTTTTCTCTTCTTTTCCTTTACTCTCTTTCACAATAACTAATTCTAAGATGTTTTAGTCTCATATAAGAGTCAATATTTTTCTATAATAGCATGGAAATATCAAAGGTAAAAGATCAAAAAGGGTAAAATTATGCTTAAAACCTTTTTTTTTCGTCATAAAACATACAATAACATTAAAAAACTGGATTACTTCGTAATAAAAAAAATATTCATCTTTTATTTTCATGAACCAATCAAAATTAAATTCGTTTTTCGCTAATTTATTCTAGCCCAAATGGGAGAACAAACTTGTTATAAGTTAATCAAGAGAAATAAATTTTCAACAGGAACCAAGTATAAAAAAGATAGCCTTATTCCCTCTACGTAATTCATCTAAAACATATTACAAAAAAAAAATTCAAAATAAAACATTCAAAATAAAATAAAATAAATAAATATTATACCACAGAACGTTAATCAAAAAACAATTAATAGAGAAACAAAGGATAATGGAAAATTCAATCGATGAATCGTTACAAATGATCATTGTACAAAAAAGAAAATTACGCATTCAACGTTATTAAAGAACTAGATACACAAGAAACCATGATTAATCTTATGTCAACTTGTGATATAAATATGAACAAATTTTCTCTCATTGACTTAATTTTATAAGAATTTTCTACCCGATGAATTATTGAAGCAAGATGCCATGGTATGATATCTAATACTCTATCTTATAAAAATTAATTAATTAAATCGTAATAAAATGGTTATAAATATGAGTGATAGACCCGTTTATATATTACGTTCTCTTCCTGAATCATCTGCTCAATCTGATTCAACGTTAATTCGTTTTAGACATTTCACGCTAAAGAAAAAATATTCTTCAGAAGAATTGACGACAAATTTTGAGAAAATCTGATTATCAGTCAAGTTTGAAATTAACTTTAAAAACTTTTCAAAATCCTTGGTGAAAAAATTTCTAAAGCTGCCGCAGAATGTATTTATCATTAATTCCTAATAATAAAAAGAAAAAATGGATTGAACAAGTGAAAAAACTCGTAAACGAAATCGACTTTCTATTATTGATAATTATGTCTAACTTATCTTTGATGAAATTTTGGCAGAGATCGGTATATTTGAACATGATTCAAGAATTAAAACGGAAAGCAACCTTAATTTAAAAATTAGAAATTTCTTCTAAGACAATCAGAACTGGTATAATTTATATAAAATAAAAAAATTATTAAGTGGAAAATTTATATAACTTACTGGTTTAAAATTTAAGAAAGAGATATAAACATTTTCTAATAATATGAAGTTAGTTTATAAAGAAATGTCGAGATTCGTAAAGAAGCGTTTCTTCAATCATATAGAGTGAATTGACAATGAACTATATAGCAGTGAAAATGGTGATACTAATTTTATATGTCGATCAAATATTCTTCTAGAAGGTTAGTTTTTATGCTTTCCAAGATTTATTTTTCCGAAATTGATCTGTCTACGTGAACAACTTTAAACCACATGTAATATTTATAGCTCCTCTCTCTGGCTTGCTTGCTGTTGATACAAATAATCTATTGCTTTGTTGCACTAAACACACTAATCCCTGAACTAAAGGTGGCGCAACAATTACCAAAAAAATGTCGCAATTGTGTTTCAACTCATGTCGCAATTAAATTTATTAATTTCGCAATATAGTTGCAACTTCAATGAATTTTAAAACAATTGTGGGAACTATATTTACCCTGAACTTTCTCTTTTGTTTACTTTTCTAAGCATTACTTCCTTAAAAATAAAACCTTTAATGTTAGTTATGTATTTTCAGGAATTCTCCACTAAATTACTATTTTAAAAGATTGTTCCTTATTTAGAATATTTTGAATGAGCTATTTGTGATAAGATAATTATATGTGAGGAGTGTTGTCAAGTAAACCTGGAATTACACAATATTCAAAATGAAGAGATTACAGTAAATGATAAGGTACTTGAATCCATCTAAGGGTAAAGGATTTAGGGTCGATTTAGATTCATAATTGCCTGAAGAAAATTTAAATTTCCAGAACAATTTTTGAAGAAATTAAATATATAATCATTTGAATTTCTAAGTAAATGATGAAAACTTTAATTGAGATTGAACTAATTTTTCAAGGATTAGTGTAAGGTAGAATTTTTTTGTAAGAAAATTCAAATAAACTTCATATTCTTAATTGAAGAAATTATTGATGGTAAAATGTATAAGAAAGTGATCTTTGTATGACTTATGTAAAAATAATATCTGGACAATTAAATGCAAATTCATTAACCTTTGAAATAAACTTTGGATTCTCCAACAAAGATTCATATAATAATGAAATAAGTTTCCAATACTTGCGAAATGAATATTTTCAAAATTTTTAAGTAGCATTGTGAATCGTAAATAATTTAATTAAAATCAATGCAAAGTACATATTTCATTTTCTCGAAAATTATGACTTATTTCAACAATCCCAATCCTCAATTCATTACGTGTAATAATTAAAGGAAGGTAAGGGATTTCGTTTTTTGAAGCAAACGAATTTGTATTTTGATAGAGGAATTGTTTGAATAAATTTAACCATTTATAACATTTAACTTGTTAACAAAAGGCCTACCTTTAGAATTAAACTTGATTAGAGAATAAGTCGTAAGGCGGATTTAGGGTTAGTTGTGCAATCGTGAATTATATAGTTGGATTAATAAAAAAACCCAAATACTATGTTGTGCTGCGCGGTTTTACTAATTTACGCACATTATTCTGATTGGCTGGTATAATTAATATTAGTTAGGGTTAGTTAGGGTTAGGGTTAGGGTTAGAGCTTAGGTAATTTATCACCGGCGGGACACCGGTAGTGTTTCAATTTTTATTAAGTATCTGAGGGACAGAGAAATTTTTTGGGGTGATATTTATTTGTCCCCCCGGGTACGTGGCAATTAACATATTTTATTATACCAACCAATCAGAAAAATGGGTAAAACGTGCTGCGTCATATAAAGGTTGTAGTTGTTAATTAGCTTGAGATGAACCGAACCGCTTAGTCATAGTTTAAACTTAAACTGATACAAAATGGTTTGATTCGGTTATTATTGTTTAGTTAAACCATTGCATAATTAACAATAATATATACATACAATTATCGATTTTACCTTATGATCGACATTAACGTTCTATTTTTTTTATTTTAATTACCGGTAAATTATGTCTCATATAGATAATCCTCCAAGTTCTGATACTTTATTAGATTATTTTTTACCACAAAGTAGTATAGGACCTATTGGTAATACTAGAAAAAGGCCCATATCGGCAATGGACCAATTTTTTACTCGGACAAAAGAATCACAGATCTGTAAATATTGTAATATCAAATATAGTAATACAACATCTACCGGGACTTTAAAAACACATATGGAAAAAATTCACCAAGAAATTTATGAATCGAAATACAAACAAAAATTATTCCATATAATCGAAAAGAGCAATCTGAACGTGATAATTTTTTAATTAATTGGATAATTTTAAGTATGCAACCTTTTTCTGTTGTTGAGGAAATTCATTCATTGATAGTATAAAAAAACTTGATCCACGCTATCGGATACCAAGCCGGCAATGCATTAAATCTAATATAGTAAAGGAATTTCAAATTCGGCTAATTTATGATTTACAAAATATTTCAAGTAAGATAGCGTTAACAACTTATATGTGGACTTCTGGAATAAATATAGCTTTTTAGGTATTACAATTCTCTGGATAGATAATAACTGGCTAATGCGTAAATTTTATTAGATATTATTCCATTTTATGATTCACATTCTGGTAATAATATAGCCGAAACTTTAATGAACTAAATAGTTAAATATAATCTTACTACAAAAATTTTGGCATTGACTACTGATAATCATTCTGTTATGATTGTATGTGGTCGTAATATAAGCAATGAATAAGTACAAAATTCAATAATTCTCTATTTCTCATTACCGATGTGGAGCACACATACTTAATCTTTCTGTACAATATGGTCTTCAAGTATATGATGAGGTGATTGAAAAGGACCGTAATTTTATGAATAAGGTTCGACGAATATTTGAAGCACAAATATTTCATACTTAGGTCCACAAATTGATATTGAAGTGCGTTGGAATTTAAATATTTAATGTTAGAAAAATTTCAAAAAACTAAAGTACAGGCTAATATGCTTATTGCGCAACATCCAAGTGATTTTAATGATATGCATATGACAGTTGAAGATTGGACAAAATTGAATGTAAATAAATATATTTATTTTCTATTTATGTCTTTGAATTTTTTTTTAAATAATTAATAATATTTATATTTTTTTTATATAGGAATTACTATCGATTTTATCTCCTATATATTCTGCTACATTAGCTCTTTCTTCATCTTCATTTTCAACTATTGGGGACCTTTACTTTATTTTTTGGACTTTAAAACAGCATTTGGAATATGAAATCGCAAATATACAACACATTATATTATTGCT